TACTTCATTCCAGAGCAGTTCTAACTTGTGGTGTGCACCTGTGCCCTCTTATTTCTGAATATTATATAGATTTACAATTTAAAACCCTCTTTCAGATCTGGACATGTAGCTCCATGGGAGAGTCTTGCCAGCCACATGGACCCTGTGTCAATTCCCAAAACTGCAAGGCAGCAAGAATCCATCATTCAGTGGGTCTTCCTCTCAGTGTGGAATTGTTTAATCCCAAATTGTAAATGTTCATAGCGATATCAAGCTTTTTTCATTCTCTCATGGACATTAGAGGCTGGATATATGTGCACACACCTGTAATCCCAGTGACGGTGACGGCTGAGGAAATGGGATCCCAAGTTCAAGTCCCATATCAGAATTTCAGCAAGACTCTCCTTTGAAATAAATATTGAAAACTGCTGAAAGTAGGTCTTTAGACATGGCTCAGGGACAGAGCACTCGACTCTCATGTGTGATGCACTGGGTTCCATCCTCAGCACCACATATAAAAAATAAAATAAAGGTATTGTGTTGACCTACAACTAAAAAATATAAAATAAACAGGGGATGTGTCTCAGTGCAAAGCCCCTCTGTATTCAACACTCAGTATGAAACGTAAACAACCACCCCCCCACACCCATACTCTCCCCTCACACACCTTATAGGCTGGGAATGTAACTCAGTGGGATGGTGAGTGTGTAGCACGCACAAGACCCTGGGTTCAGGCCCCAGGACCAGGTGTGGTGCCCTGCACCTCTATTCCCAGCAACCTGGGAGGCTGAGGCCGGAGTTACTTTAGCCCAGGTTCAAGACCAGCCTGGGAAACATAGTGAGGCCGTGTTTTGTGGCATATTTTTAATACAAGCAGAGTGATGACTTTCATGTTTTTGCTCAAGGTTAGTTTGAGGTCATGTGCAGCAGTGCACACCTATAATCCCAATGCTTAGTAGGCTGAGGCAGGGAGATCACAAGTTCAAAGCCAGCCTCAGCAACTTAGCAAGGCCCTAAGCAACTCATTTTTTGAGACCCTGTCCCTAAATAAAATACAGAAATGGGTTGGGGATGTGGCTCAGTGGTTAAGTTCCCCTGAAGTCAATCCCTGATATGCCCCCCCAAAAGAAAATCACTTTCATCATTTATTTTTTGTGGTTCCACACAAGCTTTAGGGTATGAAGACTGTCATTGAAAGACTGCAGTGAACATCTAGATCACGTTGGGTGTCATGGATACTTTCATAGTATGGATTCTTTCAATGCATGAAAATGGTATATCTTTCCTTTTTTGTAATCTTCACAATTTCATTCAATGTTTTATAGTGTTATTATAGAGATATTTTACCTCTTTGATTAAATTTATTCCTAGGTATTTTTTTTTTTTTTATTTTGCTGTGCTAGGGATTGAACTGAGGGTTTCACATTTGCCAACAAACACTCCACCACTGATCTATATCCCAAGCTTTATTATTTTGGGGGGAACAGAATCTCACAAAGATGCCCAGGGTGGCCAAAAGATGACCAGTGCTGACAGGGGAGTGGGGAAAAGGAGCCCCTGTCCACTGTGGGTAGGAATGTAACCCACAGCCCTTATGGAAAACTGGCATTTCCTTAAAATAAAAATAGAGCTTCCACGTATTCCAGCAACCCCACTACCAAGGGTACGTGCAAATAAAGCTGAATCAGTTCGTTGAAGAGACACCTGCCCTTCTGTGTTCATTGCGGCACTGTTAGCACAGCAGCCAGGAAACCAAACCAGCCTCACGCCCACCAGTTGATGGGGCAATGGAGAAAACGTGGTAGATCATACGGTGGGATGCTATTTCAGCCATACAAAAGGAGGGAATCCTGCCATTTGAAACAGCGTGGATGGGACTAGAGGTCATTATACAAGTGAAAGAAACTAGGCTCTGAAAAACTACTCATGACCACACTCATGTGGACCTCAAAGAGTTGACTTCATAAAAGTTGAGAGTAGAGCTGGGTATGATGCACACGCCTGTAAACCCAGCTACTTGGGAGGCTGAGGCAGGAGGATCACAATTCAAGGTCAGCCTCCGCAACTTAGTGAGACAATTTTAAAAAATAGAAAAGAGTGGTGATGTGACTCAGTGGCTAAGCACCCCTGGGTTCAGTTCCTGTACCACACACACACACACACACACACACACACGTTGAGAGTAGAATGGTGGACAGCTGAGGCTGGGGAGGGAAGGGAGTGGGTGGGTAGGCTGGCCAGTGCATGCTGAGCCAGTTAGGAGGTGAGTTCTGGTGTTCTGTGACACAGTAGGACAATTACAGGTGATAATTGATAATAAAATATAATGCTCTGTATATTTAAAAAACTAGGAAAGATAGTGCACATTTCAGCACAAATGCAATAAAGTCTAAGCAGAGAGACGTTGCTCTGATTGGAACATCGCACAATGTCTACGTATTGAAATCACATGCTCCTCCATAACCATGTTCAATTTTTATATTTTTAACTAAAAAAAAAATGGTGAGTGAGGAACTTCTTCCCGATGGTGTACAGATTTCATTCTTCAAATTTTCATCTTATGGTTTTCACATGAGTTGATGATTTTGCCTCAGGTCATGACTGTGAGGACTGAGAAATGACCACGACTGTTTATTTTTGGCTGGAAGTCCCAGCAGCAGGAGACACTCCCAGGAGGACTGAAGAGCCCGGGGCCATGTTGGCGATGCCGGGCAGCTGGGTCTGCCTGTGTCCACCGAGATCTGGCTCCAGCTGCCGGAAGCCGGTGCCGTGGGACTCCTGTGGGAAGTGTTCCAGGGCTGCCCACGGTACTTCAGGTACTGCAAGTGCGTCTCCAGGCCCCTCCCTGGTGCCTGCCCCCACTCAGTGGCCACCGAGGCAGGTGGCAGGACCCTTGGCCACGGGAGGTCAGAGTTGAGCTCTGCTCTGGCCTGAACAAGACCCCCCAGGATCTTCCCAGGCAGGCTTCCCGCCTTCCTGGCTCTCGGGCGTTGTCCTTGCTCCTGTCTTTGCTGAAACACCTTTTACATCTCCAGAGCCGGTTAACGGAGGTTGAGAGGGCGGAGGACGAGGCACACCAGCAGTGCCTGTCATGCGGGACCAGCACAGCGCTCTTCAGTGGGTGAAGGAAGCTGCTCAGCGTCAACATGGCCGTTGTGGTGGAGATCTGGAAGGTTCCTGCAAGGCTGGGCTCCTGGTGTGCCATGTTCAGAGGTGCTTCCCAGACCTCAGGAGGAGAGACAGGGGAGGAAAAACAGGGGGCCAGTTCACAATCAGATGTGAAGGTCAGCCTTGCTCCTTCCAAATCCCACATGGAGCCTATTACCGCCTTAGCAAGCCGCCTCGCAGCCTGCCTCTGGCCAAGCTCCTGAGGCGGGTCAAGTACTTGCAATCCTCCTGCCTCAGTCTTCAAGTTGCTGGGATTACAGGCGTGCACTGCCACACCCAGGCCAAAATTCATATTTTAAAAAATGGGGTTGCTAGGCTCATTGTACAAGTGGGCAGTGGAATTCCTTGGAAGCTCCCCAGAGGTGGAAAGAACTTTTAAGGTCTGTGTCAACCTCCTGATTCTGGGCCCTGAGAGCTGGGGTGGGGGTGTCCTCCGCCTCCCCGGGGGGAGTGGCTGGCCCCACCCTCAGGAGGCATGGACCCACAGGGGGCTCCTGCCTTGTGCTGTGCTGGACCCACAAGCCACCTACCTTGAACTCCGTGTGAGAGATCTCGCCCCTGGCCGTGTTCGAAGGTTTCATCGGGTTCTTCTTTTTTCTGTACACGTAATCTAGATCTTCTATTTTGAAACCAAATCTAAGTGAGTAAATCAAAGGATTTTGATTAAAACAGTGGACGTCATATAAATTTGCAGTTGCTTCTTAAGGCAAACTAGAGGGACAGGTGATTCCTTGCAGGCCTGATCACAGATCACCATTGCCCATTCCTGTAACATTGTGAAAGTTCCTTAAGCCTGAAAATAAAACTCCAATTCTGAACCTGGCATCCAGTCCTGTCCCGATCTGGTGACAGGCTCTTGTCCTGAAAGCCCCCAGGGCCCTCGTCACAGGTGCAGTCCTTCCCGAGGCCTGGAACCCGCCTCCCCTCGCCGTGCCTGTCCTAGGCAAGGCACGTGGTGCACACCGCAGTCCCGGCTGCTCTGGAAGCCGAGGCAGGAGGACCTCAAGTTTGATCCTTATCAAGACTACCTCCAGAAATAAAATTTAGAAAAGGTCTGGGATGGGGCTGGGTAAAAAGAAGAACTACCAGCAGGGGCTGAGGGACCAGCCCCGAGGGCAGGGGCTGGGGGGCAGAACCAGGCGGTTGGCCCTGGGGGCCTTGCGGTGGAGTGGAGTGGCCAGGCTGGCGTGGCTGTCCTCCTGCACGTCTCCCCTCTGGGACACGGAGCAGCCGCAGGCCTCATCACTCACCTGGACTCTCGACTCAGGAACTCCGACTTCCTTCGCAAGCTGTTCCCTGCAATGGATCCCGGGGTAGGGGTTGTTCCTGAAGGCCCTGGTGAGGGTGTGCAGCTGAGAGGGGCTGTAGGTGGTGCGGCACCGTCGGGCCTCCTCACCTACGGTGGGTGGGAGAAGATTAGCAGGGGGCCACGGTGACCCACGGGCAGGGCAGAACCTCCAGGGCCTTGCCGGACCCTGGCTACCACCCAGCTGCATCCCTCCTGCTTGTGTTTGTGTGTGTGTGACACAGGGTCGGCCTCCCCGGCAGCTGGCCTGCAGGAGTGTCCACGGCCCACAGTGCAGGCCTGCTGTGTCCCTGCTCCTGGCAGCAGCTGGCTCCCCGTGGAGACAGATCTGCACAGGCTGCTTACTTCGCATCTGTTCTGGAAGTCCATCTCGCCCAGGGCCTTGGCTTGATTCCAAAGCCTCCTTAAGTTCTGGTCTCTCCTGGAATCTGTGTCTAGCTCTGCGATTCTGAAACCAAACCTATGTGGAGAAAAGAAAGCGAGACCCTGAAGAACAGCACAAGGTTCACGTTGGCAGCTCCACGGTGGGCCGTGACCCCACAACCAAGCTGGACGCAGCCATCTGGATCAGATGATGAACTTTATGCCATCTTAGGAGAGAAAAGAGCGCCTATTTTTGCATGCTTTGCTTTGTCTCCTTTCATTTCTTCATTCCTTTTTTCTTTTGGGTGATATTATGGATGGAACCCAGGGATGCTGTACTATTGAATCACATCCCCAGCCCTTTTTATCTTTTATTTCGAGACAGGGTCTTTCTACATTGCCGAGACCTTGAACTTGTGACCCTCCTGCCTCAGCCTTCTGAGTTGCGGGAACTGTGGTGGTACACTACCATGCCAGACCAAGGGCAACAGCTCTCTGGGCTGACTCTGAGTCCAGCAGAGTCCACACATAGCCCTCAGCATGCTTGGAACCTGTGCCGTCACAGTGATTTTCCTTTCTTCCTTTCCAATTCCAGTTTGGGAGATACAGAATTTGTAACTTCAGTGACTCAGGAGGCTGAGGCTGGAGGACGGCAAGTTTGAGGCCTGCCTGGGTTACTTAGCAAGAACCCTGATCAAACTAGAAAGGGCAGAGGATGTAGCTCAGTAGTAGAGCTCCCTTGGGTTCAATCCAGTACTAGAAAGAAAGAAGAAGAAAGAAAGAGGATTTGTAACTCACCTGGATTCTCGACTCATCAGTGTTGACTTCCACGGCAAGTTTCTGTTTGGTAGCATAATTTGGGTATGGCATCTGGTTAAAGGTGTCGATGAGGATTTTCAGCTGCTCTTTGGTGAACTTAGTGCGATCACGCCTACAGCTCCCTGGCATGGGCCCTGTGGAAAGATCAGGAAATAGGCACCATCAAGTGGGTTAGCTTACCTGGAGATGCCGGTCCTGCCTCTCATTTTCTCTCCCCTTTTGGAACCCAGAGCCCCCAGCAGGGAAGGGCTTCCTTCCCTCCCCCACGCCCGTCAACACAGCTGATCTTCCAGCTTCTCCAGCTGACCCAAATGCTGCAACCCGACACGCAGGGTCCCGTTTTCAAGCCCCATAGAAAACGGTCGTGCTATTTTCGTGTAGATCATAAGCAATGGGCTAAGAGGATGTGCGACGGGTCCATCTGGGGATGAAGAACTGAACCCAGAAGCAAAGCCTGCGGCAGGGGCCATTAAGCCATTCCAGGTTTTCTGGTCAAGATCCCTGGGTCTGTCCTTATCACTCACCATCCCAGGCAAACTAGATCAATTTCCAAAATAGTCCAAAAAAATGTTACCTGCACAAAATTAATCACAAAAGGAGTTCCAGGGGTTGGGGATGCAGCTTAGTGGTGAGGTACTGGCCTAGCAGGTGCAAGGCCCTGGACCGAGCCCCCAGGACCCCCAAAAGGAGGACTAAAAGGATTCCATACTTTGCCCAGAATCTCCAAAAGGAAAACACCACATGAAGTGATTTTAGATACAGGATATCTCCTTGAAGTAGCCAAATCTGGAGAGTCTTTGGAGCATACCGTTTGTAACCTAATGGGACGCAGTGAACTGAGGCGAAGCCTTGCTGGGCTACTGGAGTTCTGGGGGCACGCCTGAGAGCATCTTTATTTGACCCTCCAATGCTGGTCCACCACCCCCTGCCCACTGCGCCTCACAGAGGGAGGCCCACCCTCCAGAGCTCATGCCGCGGGCTCTGACATGGGCCCAGGCCCCTGCGGGGAGCCGTGGTGATGCCCTGCCCGGCTTAGCCCTTGCCGGGCCTGCTGTTCCACAGGGCTCCACACTGTGCCCCCAGCCAGCTGGCCCGGCTGCTGCACATCCTCGCACTGCCCCCTCCCTCCTAAGGTCACCGTGTCCCAGCGGCGCTCTCACTGCAGCCTCCTTTCCCTCTCCCTTGGCCTGATTCGGAGCTGAGATGCCTGGCTGGGGAAATCCCAGTGGACCCGCCTGGGCCTGGAGTCCCGGGCAAGGGGAACACTAGACAGAGTCAGCATGAAACCAGGCACCTGGCCCCTCTGGGCTCAGGGTCCCCGCGACAGTGTGTGGCGCCTGATATCGCCCCTGTGAACCGAGGCTGAGTGACGCTCAGGGACAATGACACCACAGGTTCCTAGCCGTCTGCCAGGGGTCCTGCAGGGGGAAGCCCTGGGGGGGTGGGCGGGGCCCCCCTGTGGCCCTGTGCACTCTGGAGGGAGGCTTTCTCCAGCCCAGAGTTCAAGACCAGCCTGGAACACCAGCTGGGCAACCCCTAGAGGGCGGCAGAGACCCCTCTCAAAAAACAAAAAACCCCTCACAGGTCACACCCATCTTGTGCCTCATTTGCATCTTGGGGGGCCTTGACTGCACCCACCCATTTATTCATTTATTTTTGGTGCTGGGGATTGAACCATGAGCACTTCGCCACTGAGCCACTCCCCCAGCCCTTTTTATTTTTTGAGACAGAATCTTGCTAAGTTGCTGAGGCTGGCTTTGAACTCGTGATCCTCCTGCCTAAGCCTCCCCAGCCGATGGGATTACAGGTGTGCGCCATTGTGGCTGGCTCTCTCCATGGTACATTTAGGAGAATGTTGTAATAGCAAACAGTTGGCAAAATTTAAGTTGACCATCACCAAGGGAATATAAACAAAGTGTGGTGCATGATAGAATTTTATGCATTAGACCAAACTCATGGGGGAAAATTAGATTAGCAAGATAGATCCATCTAAAATACACTGCATTCAGCTGGTGAGGTGGTGCACGCCCGCCATCCCAGCGATTCTGGAGGCTGAGGCAAGAAGATGGCAAGTTTGAGGCCAGCTTGGGCAACTTAGCAAGACCCGAAGCAACTTGGTGGGACTTTTGTCTCAAATACCATCAGGGCTAGGGAGGTGGCTCAGGGGTTGAGCACCCCTGGGCTCAACACCCAGTCCCCACCACACACACCAAAAAAGGAATAGGATCACTGAGAAAATGACATGTGCAAAGATCTGATGATCGACAGCTGTGGTGACATCTGGGAGTCACCCATTTCCAGAAGGGACGCAGCCAATGTAAAGACCCAGAGAAAGTCTGGAGAAGGACACAGGGACAGGATATGAGGTCACAGACCCTCCAGGGAGCCAAATTAGATGGACAATGGTAGGGACAGGAACTTTCATTCGGTGACACAGGCAGTCACCGAAGGCTGTGACCATCCAGCCAACAGTGTAATCGCATCACACCAGCTAGGGCAGGCTGAAGCATGGGTTGAGTGAGAAGATGGGGCGCTCGGCTGGGCACACCGTGGTTTGAGACATCTGTGAGACCAGTAGGCCATCAGATGGGCACACCAAAGTTCAGGAGAAGAGCTCTGGAAGCGGCTCTGAACCGACACTTGGAGCCTAGCTCAGAGAGGCCCCACAGATCCCTCCTTTACTGAGTCTGTCTCCCTTTGCTTTTCCCTTCCTCCTTCCTGAAGCAAGTTTGTCCTGTTGGACTTTTGAATATTTGCACCTTCCTAAAACCCCAATGCTCAAATGTGCAGAAAATGGAAGGTTTTTTAATATCAGGGGTTGAACCCAGGGGCCTTAACCTCTGAGCCACATCCCCAGCCCTTTTTTGTATTTTATTCAGAGACAGGGTCTCCTGCGTGGCTGAGGGCCTCCCTAAGTTGCTGAGACTGGCTTTGAACTCATGGTCCTCTTGCCTCAGCCTCCCAAATTGCTGGGATCACAGGTGTGCACCACCATGCTCAGCAAATGGCGTCTCTTCATAACACTACATCAGGGAAGCCTTTTTTTTCTTTCCCCAGGATGGATATTCAAATACTTAACCAACAGAATTTCCATAACTTCTAACAGGCCCAATTTCCTCCCCAAACCAGGATAATCTGTCAGGTGGGCTGTGAACTTACTGTTTGAAGAGCTGTCTTGTGCCATGTTGGGAGAGAGTCTCAATGACCAAGAATCCATCCAAGAGATGAGTCGCTGGGCTGAGGCTGGGTTTTATATGATCAACCCAGATGGCTCCACCCTAAGTTAATCATTTGGATCATTCTCAAGTTCCTCCTCTAGTAATCTCATCATTTCTCTCTTAATCTAAGGTCTAGATAGGATTCCTGTCCAATCAATAGGGATTTAATCTTATACAAATTCACAGGAATCCCTCCACCTAAACCACCACAAGAACATTTTAGCATATAGTAGCTTATCGTGCCGACACGTGTTACATGTTCCTTACACACAGGACATTCCTTTTAGTTGTGTGGAAGTGATTTCCTCTTCTCTGTGTGTCTGTGTCTGTGCAGGGATGATGTCCTTGGGACCCCAGAGGGCCACTGGTAAGCCCCAGAGGGATGGAAGCCCAGGGAAAGGCTGAGTGCCAAGGTCTGATCTTGGACTTCCAGGCTTCAGAACTGCGAGAAGACAAACTGGCCAAGTCCTGCATTGTGTGTTGCTTTCTTAGGGCCATCCTGGCTGGTGAATGTGACACCCATTCCCCCTCTGAAGTCCCTAATGCCCGCTGAACAGGACACCGGCTCCTTGGCCAGGACTATGGCTGTCTCATGTTCTCGTGTTCCTTTCCAAACATGATCACTGATATCCAGAACACTCCTGCAGGTCACCCATCACACATGAGCTGCACAGGTTACAGAAAGGCTAAGTGGGGACAAGGGCGTCCTAGGGCTTCGAGAGGCAAGGCAGACACAAATGCAGAGCCACTGCAGGTGGTCAGATAACAGTGTTTGTTTGATACAGGGATTGAACCCAGGGGTGATTTACCACTGAGCCACATCCCAGCCCTTTCTAGTTTTTATTTTGAGACCCAGTCTTGCCAAGTTGCTGAGGCTGGTCTCAAACTTGCCATCCTCCCACCTAAGCTTCCTGAGCTGCTGGGATCACACTCATGCACCGCCACACCTGGCTACAGGTGGTCATTTTTTTAATCAGCATGACTCAGTTTATCAGTTTGTCTTATGATTGTGCTGTTCTTGTGAGCCTGCTATGTTGTTACCTAGATGAAGCATGTGTTTCTTTCCACAGTGTCAGAAGTTACTGATTAACTGCAGAGTCTCAGGCCACACCGCTTTATCAGGGCAGTCACTGACCTGGTGGTCATGTCGGGTCATCACAGGCTTCTTCTGTTCCCATCGTGATCTCTAACATCTACAGCACTTGGGTCACACATCTCACTTTGCACAGTGATAGGTAGGTTACACAAAGGCTAAGGGAGGGCCGAGGCAGCCATGGGGCTTCAGGAAGCTGACCTGGAGCAAAGGCCAAGAGCAGACGTGAAAGCAGAGTCCCTGGAGTTGGTCCCATAACACCAGGGAGCAGCCCAAGTACTGTTCAGGGAGCACAGCTGTCAAAGCACAAGCGCTTACTCTAGGCCAATGTCCCCACCAAAAGCAGCTTCACAGTGTCCTCTCAGAGTGGAACTTGTGTAGTTTTCATGGGCAGGAGGAACTCTACTGTGCTAAAGTCCGAGGACAGAGATTCAAGATTGTCACTGTGGAGATTTCCCTGAGCAAGGCTCATGATGAGTGTCCAGGTGACGGGATCAGGGTACCTCCTATCCAGTCTCAGTGTGCTCTTTCTTTTATGGATCTTGAGTGAGGGGGCTGCATTTTTTGGTAGTCTGACATGTTCAGTAAACTCATGGGGTTGGGTGTGGTGGCACACGCCTGTAATCCCAGCAGCTCTGGAGCCTGAGGCAGAAGGGTCACAAGATGGAGGTCAGCCTCAGCAATTTAGTGAGGCTCCAAAGCAACTTAGTGAGATCCCGTTTTAATAAAAAGTGCTGAAAGGTGGGTCAGTGGTAAGCACACCTGGGTTCGATACCCAATAACACCAACAGACAAAGATCATGGGCTTGATTTCACTGACGTGGGTTTCATATGCCCATGCATCCATGTCCTTCTGATTAATTTGATAAGCTCATGAGTGGTCATGATCATTAACACGATCAATGTCTTTATCAGTTTGTGCCTATGCCAGACAGATTGTTGCTGTTTACTAGTACTAAGAAAATGTGTCAACACATTTGAATTCTTAAACTCAAAAGGAGTAGCTCATAGTAAACTACTGATTCATAAGATGAAATCATTCAGAGCAGGGAGAAGCCTGAGAACTGATGTTCTACACACCACGAAGTCACTCAGGGCAGGCACAGCCTGAGAACTGCTGCTCTGTACCCCATGGAGTCACTCATGCAAGCACAGAATGAGAACTGCTGTGTTGCACACCATGAAGTCACTCAGGGTAGGCACAGCCTGAGAACTGCTGTTCTGTATACCATGGAGTTATGCAGGATGGGCACAGCCTAAGAACTGCTATTCTCTAATCCATGGAGTCAGTCAGGACAGGCGCAGCCTTAGAACTGCTGTTCTGTATTCCATGGAGTCACTCAGAACAGTTGGAGCCTAAGACTGCTGTCCTACAGAGCATGGAGTCACTCAGGGCAGGTGCAGCCTGAGAACTGCTGCTCTCTACACCATTGAGGCACTCAGGTTTAGGTACAGCTTGAGCACTGTTGTTCTACACCAGTGGAGTCACTCAGGGCAGGGACAGCCTGAGTTGTGTTGCTCTGTACACTAAGGAGGTATTCAGGCAGGCACAGCCTGAGAACTGCTGTTCTCTATGCAATACAGGCACTCAGGGCAGACATAGTCTGACATCTCCTCTTGACACCATGGAGTCACTCAGGGCAGAAGCATCTGGAGAACTGCTGCTCTGTATAAGGAAAATAAGAAGAGACACAGAGACAAGATGCAGAGGCAGGAAAAATGGCTGCTCATCCAAGCGGCCATGTTTATTTATACCTTTAGGTTCTATCAGGCAATTAGTGTCATCACCACATGATTGTTTATTGTATCAGTAAGGTTGATTTTTCCATATTTTCATTCTATAGTTAAAATATGCAATGTTATGTTAGGGTCTGTAAGCAAGTCAAGATGGCGCCTGGCATTTTGCCAGAGGGAGTGGTTTGTGAAGTAACGCCAGCGAGCCATTAAGTGTGGAGATTCCTTATTGGTTGACTGCTGTGTAGTTTATGTTAATTAAGATAAGCTGCGTGGAATGTATATATACCCCTCCTGTCCTACAATAAACGGCTCCCACTCCTGCTGTACCAATGTACACAAGTTGTTTGTCACCCCCCGGTTAGTTTGCCCAGCCAGCCGGGCTGCGGCAATGTTAGGAGATTTGTGTAGCTCTCAAGAAAGTCCATTGTTTAAAGTTACTGTTAGTGGGTAGGTTCAGGAGCACCAGAGCTTGGTGAAACACTGTAGTTATCTAATAACAAGTTCCTTTATTCCCAGGAGCTCTATGCCTGAGATCAAGGTCAAAGCTGATAAGACTCTAGCACAGAGCCTCCTTATGCAAGGCATTTCTTCAGCAGCCAGGCATTTCCTAGTAGCCAGGCATTCTGTCCCTTTGCACTGAAACTTCCCAACAGCCAGACATTCTATTCCTTTGTACAGTAATGTCCTTTGCCACCAAGCATGCCACAGTCATGAAGCTATCAGACACCCAGTACCAAACACAGAACCCTGACAGCTCTGTGCACCATAGAGTCACTCAGTGTGGGCACAGCCAGAGAACTGCTGTTCTACACACCATAGAGTTGCTCAGGATTAGATAGAGCCCGAGAACTGTTGTTCTACACACCATGAAGTCACTCAAGGCAGGCACAGCCTGACACCTGCTGTTCTGTACACCCTGAAGTCACTCAGGGGAGGTGGAGCCTGAGAAATGCTGTTCTATATACCATAGAGTCACTTAGGGTAGGTGTAGCTTGAGAAATACTATTCTGTGCACTATGGAGTCAAACAGGGCATGTGTAGCCTGAGACTGCTGTCCTAAACATCATGAAGTCACTCAGGGCAGAAGCAGCCTAAGAACCACTGTTTTGTACACCATGGAGTCACTGAGGAAGAGCACATCCTGAGAACGGCTGTTCTGTACACCTTGGAGTAACTCAGTGGAGGTACAGCTTGAGCACTGCTGTTTTACACACAACAGAGTCACTCAGGGCAGGGGCAACTTGAGAGGTGCTGTTCTGTATACCATGGAGTTATTCAGGCAGGCACAACCTGAGAACTGCTGTTCGCTACAAAATGGAGTCACTCAGGGAAGGAGCAGCCAGAGAACTGCTGTTCTACATATCATGGAGTCATTCTATGCATGCACAGCCTGAGATCTGTTCTGCACATCATGGAGTCATTCAGGGCTGGCTGAGTCTGAAATTTCTGCCCTACACACCATGGAGTCACTCAGAGTAGAAGCAGCCTGAGAACTGCTGTCTGTACACCCTAGCATCAATCAGGGCAGGCACAGCCTGAGAGCTAATGATCTACACGTTTAGAGTCACTCAGGGCACAATGGCCTGAGAACTGATATTATACACTCTATGGAGACACTCAGGGAAAGACAGCCAGAGAGCTACTGTTCAGTACAGCATGAAGTCACTCAGGGCAGGTGCAGCCTGAAAATGGCTATTCTATACAACATGGAGTCAATAGGGGCAGATAAAGCCTGAGGACTGCTATTCTACACATCACAGAGTCACTTGGGTCAGATAAAACCTGAGAACTACTTTTCTACACACTTTGAAGTCACTCAGGGAGGGGAGTACACAGATGGGAAACTGCTGTTCTACACATCATGAAGCCATTCAGGGCAGGTTCTATGTTACTATGTACACCCTGGTGTCATTCAGGGGAGTTGCAGCCTGAGAGCTGCTGTTCTACACACCATAGAGTCACTCAAGGCTGGCACAGTCTGAGAACTGGTGTTCTCTACAATATGGAGTCACTGGGGCAGGTGCAGCCTGAGAGCTGCTGTTCTAGAAAACATGGAGTCACTCTGGGAAGGTTCAGCTTGAGAACTGCTGTTCTGTGCACCATGAACAGGTGGAGCAGAACAGTCACTTAGAACAG